ATTCATTTAGTTGAGCTAAATGCTTATTGTTAAAGACAAAAGCCCCAACAGTCTGACATTGAGCTCATTATGTATGTTAGAAACACTGCAATCCAAGGCCACACCGCATGCGATAAAGGCAGAGACTGGGGGGGTGGGGGGGGTGGGGAGGGGCCAGGGATTAAAATGCAGACCACGCCGTTCTCCTCAATAACTTTCCATTTAGAGCTGATTAAAACTTCAAACCAAAGCTCATTGGCAACATCAGCAGAAGGACTTCTGTCGCTGTCATCAAGTGACGGGGGCGAGCTGAACGGGGACCCCCTCGCTCAGACAGCTCGGCAGCCAGGAAGACCTCCTTCCAGCTGAGTCTCAAAACTGGGTACGATTTTAAAGGAAGTATAAACAGACGCAGAACAGCGTCTCTTCTGGAAGCGCAGTGAGGTCTGGGAGGTAGATACACCGTGTGTTCTTAACCAGCACCCGCAACGTGTGCTCATGCACGTCCTGGGGCGGGGGGGGGGGGGGGGGGGGGGCTTCCGTCTCCACGAGGAGGTCTCCCCCGCACCCCTGCGGGGCGCCCACATCTTGCCCACAAAGGCTCCCGCCACGAAGCCAGCAGCAGAAGGGGTGAGAAACCGGGGGACCCACCGCCTCCTCCAGGGAGGTTGAAAAGTCCCCACCACACCCCTTCGCAGAAACAACGCCCCTGTTTCTTCCTCGAGCGGCTTCCTACCGCGGATGCAGGGTTTGCCTGCGAGCTTCCGGGAGACACAGGAGGACCGTGCGTCCGAAACCAGCACCTGACCCTCGTGCTCGGAGGCAGAACGCAAGAGGCCCCTGCAGGCGCCTGTCCGGAAAAGGGGTGGGGGTGGGACCTCGTTAAGATTCTGTGAAAAGGCTCCACCGTAGGTGTCTCCCCTCTTGGGGCAAAGTTGCGCATGTGGCCATTTCCCATTAAAATGGGCAGGTGGTCTATTTCCAACCCAGGGGACTAGGAGGAGTTCATCCAGAGGACTCCTTTGAGACTCTCCAAGTACGACATCTTCCCAAACCCACCGGAAAGGACACCTGTGAGAGCCCTTCCCCTAAAGTCAGGAGAAAAGCAGCTGCCTTCTCCGCCCGGGGGAGGGCAGCCCTCTTATCGGTGGCAGAGTGACGCTGAGTGGGCCGAGGGTGACACGGGCCATCCGTCTTGTCATCAGCACAGCGAGGGGCCCAAGGCTCCTCCAGCTCCAGGAAGCAGCCCCCAGGCAGGGACACTTAACCCCCGTGAGCCCGAGTCCCTGCCGTGCCTCCCAACCACCCTGTCATGGCCGAGGTGCCTGTGGAATGACAGTAAATCTATATGACCTACAGCCTACTGTTGTGACAAGCGCACCCCGGGCCTCCCTACAACACTATCAAACTGTATCATGATGGCAATGGAAGACAAGGCCTTTATTACGTGCCTTGTGGAGCCACTGAGAAGTCCTCGGCAGGACTGTGGCCCCTTGGAGGCAGGGCGGCCAAGGCCCCGTGCACCTGCCCTGGGCCTTGCAGGGCGGCGGGCGCGCACGAGAGATTCGGACTTTTATTTGTTTATTTTTGCGGTTCTGGCTCAGTCGGAGGACTCTGATTTTTAAACCAGCACCTGGCTCACAGGGTGCCTGCTCTCGGAAAGTCTGCAGGGCACGCGTGCTACAGAAACATGTCAGCGAATGCATGTAACTGCTCTAGTGAGTTCTAGAAACCTGGAGCGATTTTGCGGTTCAGTTCAGTTTGGTTTGTTTTTATTTGTGTTTTTGTTTTATCCATAACACATAATGGGGAGACACCAGGGCCGGGAGATGCCATCAGATGCCACATGGAACTTTGCCACGTCAACTCGAAAACCTGAGTCACGGATTGGGGATGCTATTGTGAACTTGTACGATTTCAAGTGCCCGGTTGTGATCCCCAGCGACACACAGGATGACCTTTCTCTGGTCACTGCGCATAATGTCTACATGTAACGTTTGCAATAGGAAGTAAACAAGTTTCCCTTGTAAGTTTTTCTAGATGATGTGTGTGTGCCTGCGTGTGTGTGTGTGTGTATGTGTGTGTGTGTGTTTCCTTTCTTCCTTCCCTTTTGTTAAGTCACCCTAAGCTTTTCTGGGCTTAAAAAGAGAGAAAAAAAAATCTAGCTGAATAGTAATATGGTCACTTCATGTATATGCAAGAAAAAGATCTTTTCACACCTTGATGAAATTAGCATATATTTAAATGCTAATGAACCGCCAGTGACTGGCTAAAAATACCAAGAGCTGCCTGCACACTCAGGGCTGTGTCCCCAGGAAACATCGGGGTCTAGAGGCGTGATTTTATTTCAGCAGATGCTAAGGCTCCGTCCCAAACATGTGAACATGGCAGGATGACTGAAGTCTTCTTCGCGAGAAAGTTGTCTCAAAAATGGAAAACTCGGGGCCAAATGAAAACAGAAACTGTTTTCCTGTGTACATGGGCTCCCAGTGGGATCGCGGAGACTTGTTTCCACCCCCCTTTAGTTGACTGTAGAGCCGTTTGGTGCAGAAGCGGATTGATGAGTTCTCTGCATGGATATCTCATGGCATGGAAAATTAATTTAAAGGTTAATTCAGAGACACACTTGAAGGGCTTTTTTTAAATGTGTCACTCTCCTGTGGGATCGGGAATAATTTTATGAGTCTCAGGTAAATGTGAGTATCAGAATGCAGTCACATCATCTGTTTGCTCCCGAGTCTCGACCGCAGGGTGAGTTGGCGACTAGGCCTGGGCCACTGGCAGAGCCCCTTGTGCACCTGTTCGCTCGGGTTTTCGTGACAGACTCTTAGTACCCCCCCCCCCGCCCGGAGTCCCAACATCTTCTTTCACAACAGTCTCCCGAATAGACGTCTGTTCCACATCAACACACTCCTGAACGTCATTTCAGGACGTACGCCAGACCAACTCGCACGCGGGTCCTTCTTGAATAACTGGGTGTGGGCGGACGTCATTCTGTGTGCCCTCTTCCTCCCCAGCCCTTCCTTCCCCTCAAAGTACCGGCTGAGCTCGCTCTCTGAGGGGCACCTGAACACACAACATGGAGCCCTTGACCATGAAATGGGGGCTGTTGGCTGTTTCTTTTTTTTAATTTTTTTTTAATGTTTATCTATTTTTGAGACAGACAGAGACAGAGCGTGAGCGGGGGAGGGGCAGGGAGAGAGGGAGAACAGAATCCCAAGCAGGCTCCAGGCTCCGAGCTGTCAGCACAGAGCCCGACGCGGGGCTCCAACTCACAGACCGCGAGATCATGACCTGAGCCGAAGTCGGAGGCTCATCCGACAGAGCCACCCCGGCGCCCCAGTTGGCTGTGTTTTAGGGCAAAAGGTTGGAGCAAAAATGCTCAAAGACCTGTAGGAAGAGACAACTTTTTATTTGGTTTGACCAACACTGTCCCTGTTTAGAAAATCAGGTTGAACTTTATAAACGTGCGTATGTTCACTTAAGTGATCTACACAAGCCTCTTCCCAAACACGATGAGTGCAGTTTATTTCAAAAGGCAAACGTTTGGGGCGCCTGGGGGGTTAGGTCGGTTGAATGTCCGACGCTTGATTTTGGCTCAGGTCGTGATCTTGAGGTTCACGAGATCGAGCCTCGCATCGAGCTCTGTGCCAACATCGCGGAGCCTGCTTCAGATCCTTTGTCCCCCTCTCTGCCCCTTCCCAGCTCATGCTCTCTCAAAATAAATCAACTTAATTTTTTAATTAAAAAAAAAAAAAGCAGACTCTGACCATAAGCATATGGGATTGCAACTGGGACTCATTGGTTTGGGACAAAAACTGGATATGGTATCAGTGTTTTGACATAATCCCTGCTTTTATCAAAATGGGGCTTCTCAAAGTTTGACTAGGAAATAGTTGAAGCTCCAGCCTCAGGGAGCAGGTGGCAGGTCTGAGAAGTCAGGAGCAGACCCTACATTTCAGAGGTGGAAAAAGTTTTCCCGAGGGGGTCCCGTCCTGTATGGTTGCTTTAGGCAAATCCTCAAGCAGTGAACACGAGGGTCCTTGGGCTTCAGTTCTCACGGAGTCCCTGGGCACTGAATCTGTCCTCTCCTTCGGAAGAGTCTGGAATTGTTTTAGGGCGTCTGCATGTGGGCCTAGAGAGGGTTGGCAGACTTTTCCCGTGGAGGACCAGACCGCAAATCTTTTCAGCTTTGAGGACCACCTATCGTCCTTGAAGCCAAGACTGGGCTCTGTCACTGCAGTGTGAGAACATCTATGGGCGGTACACAAACCCGCTAGCATGGCTTTGTGCCAATAAAACTTTATTTACAAAAACAGGTGGGGGGCCGCATTTGGCCCCCAGACCATAATTTACTAATCTCCGTGTCTCGTCCGAAGCCTCAGCCTCCAGCGCTTGCCTAGAATGTTTTACGATCGATTGAAATGCTACTTATGACCTTCTCCTTTCGTGGTGAGCTCTTTTGGTTTGGTCCATCATTGGGTCTGTGGCACGACCTATTTTAACCGCCTTCATCAACAGGTCGTCACGGCCAATAAACACTTCTTCGTAGTTTTAATTCAAAAAGTCCAGTAGGAAAAGTTTGTCTGGCTTATTGTAGACACTGTGTTCTCAGGGGGTGCTCTCCCTCAAGATGCTTCTTTATTTTTTTTAATGCTTATTTATTTTGAGAGAGAGCATGAGCCAGGGAGGGGCAGAGAGAGAGGACAGAGGATCTGAAGTGAGCTCTGTGCTGACAGCAGAGAGAGCTCCACGCGGGGCTTGAACTCATGAGAAGTCACAAACCGTGAGACCGTGACCCGAGCTGAAGCCGGACGCTTAACCGACTCAGCCACCCAGGCCCCCTCCCTCTAGATGCTTCTAATTCCAGAAGTGGAGTCACGATGCGTGTGTGTGTGCGTGTGTGTGCGCGCAGAGAGAGACAGAGGGACAGAGGGAATGTCGTCTTTGACGGTATGTGCTACATAACAGGATGGACAGCCTAGGCTGAGTTGAGGAAATGCCCCTGAGACACAGGGAACCAAGGGTTAATAACAGTAAGTTATAATTATAAGGATAATGTTAGCACTACAAATAACAGCTTCTATCTCCATCTGTTGGACACCTGCTGCGTGTCGGGCCTTGCGCTGTACCCTTAATAAGCATTCCATCATTTAAAACTTGCCCCGAAGGTAGGGATTGGCCCTCTGTCCTTGAGGATAACTACTGGTTGGGAAGGGCTTACCGTGGGGCTTTCGACACATTTTGACTTGTGGAGAGAACAGACGGCAACACTGAAAGGGAGACACACAGGTGCGTTTCTACCAGCAGAAGACGACAGATGTGGAGGGTGTGGCCTGGGCGTGGCGAGCCCCGGGAGGGCGCAGGTGTCCCGGCACCTGACGTGGGCCATCCCGGGCGTGGAAAGCCACCCCTGGTCACGGAGATGCTGAAGGCCTCTGGGGCCCTTAAAGATGAGACCAGGGTCCTGCCCTGTGGGGGCGCTGTGTGTGGGACTGCTGGTGGGCACGAAGGAGCACAGTGGAGGCGACAGGGCCATCAGGAGGGCGCCTCTGGAACCTGTCCTGAACGTACGTAATGACACGACTTGGCCAGCAGGAGCCCGAGCGAAGAGATGTTATCTCATGTACAGACCTTGTCAGCGCGCATCCTGAAAGGTTTGGTTCTGATCTCCAAAGTCGGTGCCTTGTCTGATCGATCGCCGTGGAGTGCTTGCAAAAATACCTGGAAAGTTCTGCCAGAGCAGGGTGAGCTGGGCAGCCCGTGCGTGCCGTCACCGGGGCCCCACGGGGGAAGGTGCTGGCAGGAAGACGTCTCCGGGGCGCAGGGTGGGGGGCGAGCAGGGTGTCGCTCCCGGGTGGGGCTTCATTTCCTCTCTGCTAGCCGAGCCTGGAGAAAGTACTTGGCTTTTGCGGTCCGTGATCCTCTCTGAACGGGCACGGTCAGCCGCGAGGCACTCTGGTGCTCCGGGGAGCGTCTGTGCTCCGAGATTTGAGAACTCTTACAGCTGTGGACAAGGTTGCTCCATTAGCGTCCAGACCATTTCATCCAGGTGTCCCGGTCAGCAATGTGTCAGCAGGAGTGTCCTCAGGGCCTTGTCTGCACTTAGCAGATGCCCAGCTGTGTCCAGACCCTGCCTCCCTGCCTGGGGAGCCTCTCCCTGAGCCCGAGCCCCGGACCCCACGTGCATGTTCTACACGTGTGTGTAATTCTCCCCTCTTCCCTGACCTCAGGTGCCGCCCCAGCAGCTCCCATTCATCCGTGATCCAACCGGGAGCCCCTTCGAGTGGCCCTTCCGTCCCAGCGGTGGACGTGACCTCCTCTTGTAGAGGGTGCCCATCGTCACCTGTCTCACGGGGCCACAGACACAAGTCGCAGAAGAAAACATGAGACCGAAAAGTCAGTGGCCGGGTGAGACCCCGAGGGGGCGGCCCACGTGCAAGGACGGGGCCCTGTAGCTCGCTCTTGCTCAGGCCGGCACGGGAAGCCCGCGTCCAGGCATTTCACTCCCCTGTGACCACCTTATGTTACAGAACTTCCCTGGAAACCCTCCGACTCCTCAGCAGCCAGGTTTTGCCAAAAATGTGTGGCTCCTTCAAGTGCCTAGTGCTGCTCATGATTTAAAGGTGTGAAAACGGAGATGTGGGCGAAATAAGAAACAGGGAGGATCATCCAGGAAGCAGGAGCCCAGCCCAGGTTTACATAATGTCACGCTTCGTTCTTCTGTATCTATGACGATCGTTCGTTCACTCAGAGTGTAGGCTGTTGAGGTAGAGATAGTCTGCAAAAAAAAAAAAAAAAAAAAAAAAAACCCAATAAATGCAAAATGAGGCCATTCTGTCTGCTGAAGTTACCTAGTCAGTGTGTGACTGGGGGGCGGGATGCGGAGAAGGGGTGGGGGGTGCGGGGAAGGGGTTTCTCTGCAGGGAAGTGATGGAGGGGGCGTCTGGGTTTGAGAGAAGATCTTGCCACCAGTGTAAAGGTCTCAGGCGCGAACAAGCTGAGGCTAGAGTGTTGGAGAAGAACCAAGAGGCCCACTTGGCTGGCGCAGGAGACATGGGAGACAGCAGGGGCACATCCCAGGGGCCTGCGGCCACACCGGGAATTTGCATCCAGTGCTCTGGGAGCTGCGGAGGACTTCCAGGAGCGGGAGAGAGACTCCATGTGGGCAGTGCTTCCGGAGGATTCCTGGCGGTGGTGTAGACGACTCATGGGGGTGGGAACAGCTGTGGGGAGCTGGGGGTGTAGGGGCGGGGAGGGTGCCAGCGGAGCTCCCGGATGACTTGGGTTCGGGAGAACATCTGAAGGGGTCCAGCAGGACCCCTGGAGTGGACAGGATGGGGGTAAGCAGACAGAGAGGCAGGCGGGGCGTTGAGGCCAACGCCTAAATCTGGGGCCTGGATGGACCCTTTGGGACACAGTTGTGTTCTTCGGCCAAGGACTCCACGGTGAACAACCTCGATAAGTTAATCGTAATGATACTTGGCACAGCGGATCAAGGCCAGTCTCCCAGGGAGAGACACCTTCTCAATTTCTATTTGAAGGGAAAGAAACAAGGCCAGAGTGAGGAAGGTGGCTTTGGCGAAGCGAAAATAAACAGCAGAACTAGAAAATCGGCTTCCCACTGTCCCTCAACACCCCTGGACCGGTGTGGCACTCCCCACATACCTCTGGCCGAGGGGTGGACAGGTGGAGTCCTCAGCCTGCCGCTACATTCGGAGCACCCGTATCAACAATGGAAAGGGAATATGGACAGGAGCCCTTCCTTGCACCTGCTCTGCGGATCAAAGCCCTGGAGATTCTTGTACATCAGTTGGACCTGAGTTCAAAGACGCCCACGGCACTCAAAGCCGTGTCCCTAAAATTCCCACGGCACAGAGGGGGAAGCAGATGTCAGGGTCTCGTCCAGGAAGACAAACCTCCAAGACCATCATACCCGTCGGACCCGTGAGGACCCCAGCCACATGCCCAGATTCCTCCGAGCCTTGGCAGTTTTAACCGGCAGCGTGACTGCAGGAAAGGGACGGCCCAGGTGGCAGAAATCCTGACCAGGGACCAGGCGCTCCCTCCCGCCAGGTCTGGTGCTCCACCAACTGTGCCGAGAACTTGCAGGAGCATCCGTAGGGCCTATTCCGGCTAACCTAGGACCCTCCCCCTGCTGCACAGAGGGCCCAGCAGTGCCCTTGTCATCCTGCCTGAGCTGTGGACTCCCCTGGGCCCCAGCTGAACTCATGGAAGCAGAAATAACATTGGTTCAGAGATAGGGAGTGGGAGGGATGGACCAGGCAGTTGGAGAAAAGAAACTGTACTTTGTGTTCTTTTCTTGTTAATTCATTTTTGAGAAAGAGAGACAGAGTGTGAGTCGGGGAGGAGCAGAGAGAGAGGGAGACACAGAATCCGAAGCAGGCTCCAGGCTCCGAGCTGTCGGCACAGAGCCCGACGTGGGGCTCGAACTCACCAACTGTAAGATCATGACCTGAGCCCAAGTCAGATGCTCAACCGACTGAGCCACGCAGGCGCCCCAAGAAACTGCACTTTGAACACAACGCTTTTCATCAGAGTTTGTGGCCAGGGGCCCTCAGTTTCAAGAACTTTGCTCTGAAAATAAGTAGGTCTTAAGTAGCAAAACCAGGCCCTGTGTTAGCCAGACACGCACAGCGGGACAGGCACCACAGTCCGCCTTGGGGCAGGAGAGGCCGAGGACGAGATGCCTCTTTGGGCAGCGCTTGTGGGCGCCCCCGCTATTCTGCACGGTTGTGAGTTGTGCGCAGGTGTTTCGGGCAGCGAGTTCAGCGGCCGGGTGCCCTTGGCCTTACCGGGCCACCGACAGTAAGAACCGCAGGCTGAGCCTTCAGCACCACGGCAGGGCAGGCCAAAGACGGGTGTACGTAGTTAGGGTATTTACGGTATTTCTGCTGGTGTTTAGATAACTATTTTCCCATTAAGGTGAAGCTCACAATTGTTTCGATGAGGAGCTGATTCATCATTCAAAAAGGAGTGCTTCGCAGGGGGGCACTTAGGTGATAAAAATCAATGACAAGGCTGGTAAATTGCCTGGGAGGGTTCAGGACAGATTCAAGATAAAGGAGGGAGAGATTAAGTCAAGACAGCATCTAATGCTTTTGCCAAACACTCCGGCCTCCGCCGAGGACGCTGGTGTAAGGGGCGGCCCCTCAATTCCCAGAGCCCCTGGCCTATCTTTTGTCACCTCCGTTGCCCCGTATCAAACTTTCAGGAAACGAGACCCAGGAAAGCAGACAATCAATAATGAGATCAGGAGATGTTATCATAAGAGAAACAGGCCTGCCTGCTTTGTCCAGGGAAGGCCGTTTGGCCCGCCTGTCAGTGGGCAAGGGTGATGGGCACTGTGTGACTGGGTGTGTGCAGATAAGGCCGGAGGAGAGGTGCGGGGAGGTGGGAGGCACGTGGGGGTGATGCGGCCGCCGCCAGCTCGCCCCCCACCCCCGCCCTGCCACGGCACCAGGAAGAGCCCCTCCGAGCCAGCGAGTGTCTCAGGGGTCCTGCCTGGGACCCTCTGTTGGCAGTTCCAGACGCTGGGGCGAGTCGGGGGGCGCCGGTGGGCGGGAGGGCCGTGGGGGTCTTGGGGTGAATTCACTCACGCCTTCTCCGCGCAGGGTGGGCGTTGGAGACGTAGGCTCCTCTTCCGCGGACGGGCGGCGTCCACACATCCCTGTGCTCTGATGGGGACACACGGCCTCTGCAGGACAGCGGTCCACACCCCTCCTCTGGGGGACGGGGTGCACGGCCACGCGTCTGCTGTTGGATGACCCAGCCTCAGGTGTTCCGTGAGGCGTGGGGAGCCCACACCCCCTCTGGGCGGCCCCGGGGGACGTGAGCTTGTGCCCGCCTCTCGTGCTGAGGTGAGGCACCGTCCCTCTGAGAGGTGACCCCCCACCTCAGCGGGTCCCCTGCAGGACAGGAAGCCTGCCAGGGGATGCTCCTCACCTGCTCCCCTTCCACGGCTGTTAGGGCGGCTGGGGGCTCACGCATGAGTCCGTAGGAAAATGGGCACACGGCCTCGTCCGTGCGGTGGTGGGGGCCCCCGTCTCCCCTCCTCAGAACCGGGTGTGGACACATCCCACGGCCTTCGAAGGAGGGAAGGAGGCTGAAGCGTTCTCCACGGCTTTTTCCAACATCACGTGGTAAAAAGTGAAGACCAGGACGCCCCTATCTTCACAGGCCTTGGGCAACAGGAAGCCGACGGGCCCTGTTACCTCCACAGCCAACCTCAACACCGAATGCTGTGCCTTCCCCCGAAATACACCTGGAGAGCACACGAAACGATTACCAGCCGCTGCAGAAATGCATGGCTTTTTGTTAAAATGTGTGCCCGCCTGCATTTTGCCAAAATAGCACGTCCGACCAAGCGCAGTCACGTAAGTTTGCCATCGGCATGTCACCCCACGTGCAGAAGTAAACCGATGTCGGGACGACATCCCACTTTTCAAAAAAAAAACCACGAATTTTGACTCCTGAAGGTTTTATGCCTAAAATACGGTGGGTAGGTAGGTGTCCCGTGTTGGTCACATACGGAGCAGGTGAAGGGTATTGGGAGTTCATGAGCTTCCGTTTTAACGGAGGCGGGGCTCCCTGTAGCACCACCTTCTCTGCCTCTCCTGTGGCTCCAGGTGGGCAAAGGGTTCTTTGCCTCCTGGGACAAAGACACTGCACCTTCTTCTTAGGACTAGGATAAGATGGGGGCAATTTAAAGGCTATTTTCCAGAGGAGTCCCTGAAGCAGATGTGGCTGGGGAGTAGGGCAAACAGGAGGGGGCAGGGGGAAGAGTGGGGGCGTAGGGGTAGGGGCAGGAGGGAGCAGGGGAGGGGAAGGACAGGGGAGGGGTGGGGGAC